TAGTACACCCCAAACCAGGGTCATGCTGCAGGTGCAATGCAGTCCACCCCAAACCAAGGTCAGGCCAATTGATTCTGCCTAATTCTGGGGTCACTCTGTTTTTAAAGTCTAGAGTCGGAGCTGCCCACCACGGCAGCTCTGCTGTGTTTTCTGTCATTGATTAGTCATGACATCCCTGCTAGTCACGTGGAAATCTGTTGCTCATGTCAAGAATAAGCATCCTCCTTCCTGGCACATAGCCATTCTAACCTTTATCAACAGGTTAGGAAAGCAAGAAAAAGAGCTGTACACAACAGTGGATTTGGCTCAAAAATTACCCTAAAGGTCTTTCTATCTAGGGATCTCTAATATGCCATAAGGAACTCAGCATCTGAACTTTGAAAAGTTCAGGGATGTTATTTGGCAACTACAAGTCACATAGCATTCTAGATGGGAAGATAAGCTTGAGGCCAAAATTATAATTAGAACACCAGAACCAGATAAGATGGAGGGACGATGCAAGCTAATGTTAGAGAAACAGCCCGAAAAGATTCCAGCAAAACAAAAGGAAAAAAATCTACAAGGAATTGACTGGCGGCTCTAGGACCCAGGAAAGTCATGGCAGACAGCTGAGAAGGGATGACAGGGAGCCTTTCCAGAGGGCCTGTGGACTTCTGCCGGCTGGGGAAAACAGAGCCCACGGCTTCCTTGCCCTCTTCCAGGTGGTGGGATGCATTAGGGACTCACTGACCCCAGTGCCACGAGAAAAAATTTTTCTCAGTTCCCCAGCTCCCATTAATCTCCTCCACCCTCTAGCTCTCTGCCTCTCCTGGTAACTAGTATTAGAAAAAATTAAAAGACTTGTGTTTTCTGAGAGATGAAAGCCTGTGTGGGAGAGAAGGGATAAAAATGGGATTGGGGTTTTCTTAGGGTAAATAGGAGAAAAAAAAGAAGTAAACCAGTGGGTTCCTTCTCAGTTTGAGTTTACAGCTTTAAACTGGTCCTGAGGATAACATCAACATGACCTGAATGACCATGTGAATCTGCATGGCTTAGGACACGTTCCCAGACACCCCAAAATGGGAGCTATGACAGCAGGTGGACTGAAGTGAAGCCCTTTGAAGCGGGGGGTGGGGGTCGGGGTGGGGGAGGACAGGGAGAGAGAGAAAGATCAAAAGAGCAGTTTAGTAGATGTCCATTTATCTAAAGCGATTAGAATGCAAAAAAAAAATGTACATGATTTAAATATATTGCTTCCCTTAGGCGTCACCCCAACGTTTTTCCGTGGTGTCTCAGGTCTGAGTTTTCCACGCTGGTTATATGAGCAACTTTGCTTGAGATACTTGTATTTGTCTCCCAGGGGAGCAAATTTTAGTTCCCTATTACCTAAGCACAGCGAATGTGAATCTAGAGAGCATTTAACAAGGTAGCCATACATCATAGTGAAATCTCTCAACTGCTCTTTCCATTTGTGGTTAGAGCAAGACCTCTTGTCTTTGGTGCTTTTATGTACAAGCATTCATCTTTTAATGACTGGGAGCCTCCAGCTGCTGGAAAGGAAAAACAAACACAAGGTTGCAGAAGTCTGTAGACAGGGAGAGACAAAGATGAGAAACAGACTATGCTCCAGCGGCAAAGAGTCTGTGCAAACTATCCTTCAGAAGGTGTTGTGGTCAGGGGTTGTAAGGAGAACAATTAGAATTGGACAAGAAATTTATCATATTACTTTTTATGATGCATACCCAGAGTTAACACAAGAAACTGCAGGATATCTATCCACAACAGTAAAGACATAGAATTTTTAGCCAAGGGCCTGAATCCCACAGCAACGTCCTACATGAGTCCAGATGAAAATCTAGAGCTCATGACAATGCCTCCCATGAGTCCAACTGGAGGTCTAGAGCCCATAAGAAGGACTCACACGAGTCTCTTTTAAGGATCTGTGCTGGGAAGGCTGAAAGGGTCAGCGGCAGAAACTAGGAAGTCTATGCCAGAAGGTGAAGGAGCTGTGCTGATAGGTTGAGGGTCCTATGCCGGAGCCGAGAAGTCACACTCACAAAAAAGACCAGGGCTGTTCTGAAAAGCACCACAGCCGTCCTCAGTGACATGGAGGCCCCGAGCTCCTCTGATGATGAGCACAGCTGAGTACATGCCAAGAAGCCAGCATGACGAGCTCATCCTGGAGACCAAGTCTTCCCCCTCTGGAGCCAGGAAGCAATGCTTGATGTAAGGACCACAGCTTCTCCAGGAGAACCAACAGCTCAAACAGCAACATACAGGAGAACCCACAATGCCTCAATGCAATAGCTTCTCCTTCTCTATATCTCTATTTATGCTGGCCTCACATGGAGCATCTACACACAGCACCATGGTGATTTAATTCAGCTGGCGTTAAGTTGACCACTAGTTTTTAATCCATAACAGAAAGCAAGGGGTTAAAGGAAATGGGGAAGAAAAAAAATGAAAAGCCTTTGGCTGGACCTACTAAAGTCATTTTCCTGATACTTCCTTTTTACCTCCTGGCTAGGTCACCAAGAGAAAAATTAACCAGCTGGATCTGAGGAGGTCCCCGAGGCTGAAGTAAAGAACCCGACCCAATCTTTCATAGAAAAATTTTGTGGGTTCCAAGTCCTGTTACAGATAAAACATTTTCAGGACATGTCAGTAAGATGCACAGTAAGGGTTTATTAGGCACAGACTTTAGCACACACTCAAGAGTGGAGTGTGGGCACTCAGAGAAATGAGATGCATTATTTCCTGAAACAGGCAACATAGCAACTTTTTTTTTGAATGGGTATAAAACCCAGGAGGTGGCCTACCCACAAGAGGGTATTAGCCCATTCTACAGATATGGGCCCAGGGAGTTTATTTTTAGGTAATTTGGATTCTCTCAAACTATTCCCTTATGTTGTAGTCAGGGATTGCAAGGAAAACAAGACAATACAGGACACATGATTTATTTATTTTATGATAGTCTCCAGAATCAAATACAAGAAGTGCCCGAAATCTGTCCCCATACTAAAGACTTATGAGAATCCAGTTGGAGGCCTGGATACCATGGCAATATCCTGCATGAGTCCAGCTGAAGATCTAGAGCCCATAACAATGCCTGCCATGAATCCAACTTGAAGCCTAGAGGCCATGACAATGACTCATGCAAGTCTAATTCAAGGATCTGCACTGGGAAGGCCCAAAGGTCAGTGGCAGAAGCTAGAAAGTCTGTGCCAGTGGGATAAAGGATCTGGGCCAGTAGGCTGAGGGTTCTGCACTGGAGCCAAGAAGTGATGCTCAAAGTAAGGACCAGGGTTCCCCTGAAAAGTACTACAGTCATCCTCAGTGACAATGAGGTCCCAAGCTCCTCCAACGGTAACAGCTGAGTTCATATCAGGAAGCCGGTGTGACAAGCTTCTCCTGGAGATTGAGTAGCACACTATCTTCCACTCTGGAGCCAGGAAGCGGTAAAGACAAGAACTCCCCAAAATGAACTGCAACTATTTTCAGTGACAAGGTCCTGAGCTCCTCTGACGATGAGTATAGGTAAGTTCCTATTAAGACAGAAGCTCGATAAGCTCCTCCAGGAGAGCCAACAGCAACAGGAGAAACCAACAGCACCACACAACAACTTCTCCAGTTCTCTCTATGTTGGCAACAGTCCTCAGAGGGGCCATCCGTGCCCAGCACCACACTGATTCAGTTTGGTTGGTATTACAAGTCGACCGCCAGTGTCAACCGACACTTGAAGATCAAAATTTTACTCTTTATTTTCTCAAACCAATTCTGAAATCTTCAGTGTTCCTAAGGAATTTGGGTGTGACAGGTCTAACAGAGATGATGATGGATAGCAGCAGTTATACAGAGCACACTGTATGCCAGACACTTTATCTATCACTTTGTATGCATTAACTTGTTGTATCTCCACTTAATCCTCATTTAATGTATTATTTCCTTCACTTTACAGATAAGAAAATTGAGGCTTGGATCGGTTTGAAAAAATAAACCAAGTTCATATAGCTACGAAATGGCAAATTTGAGAGCTGAATGTAGTGATGGGATACTTGACACTATGCTGCACAGCTCCTTATTGTGATGGATGGTTACCACCAACAGTGGCATTTCCGAATCCCAAAATAGCACTCTGTAATTCATACAGTTGCTGTGAGGAACAGCTGAGATATTGCCTAAATATGAGCAACCTTCTTGACACACAGCGTGTGTTCTATGGATGTCAGCTGACTGCAGGACTAGTATCTTTTTTTTTCATTCAAGGGAGTAGCTAGACTGACACTAGATTCTGGCCTCAATTTCAGGTTATCATTGGAGTGATTCAGACTGGCAGAATTCAAATTTAAGATGCAATTCTAGAACCTCAATTGTTTCCATGGGGAAATAATCCTTTAGGTCAATTGCAATTCTCTGGGTCTCTACTCACGTGAATTAGAGAGAGACAGGGAAAAGTGTTGAGAGGCAGAATCTCAAGTGAGGTATACTATAATCTTTCAACAGAAGAAGTGAACATTGTTATGGCATCACATATCACTATCCCATTTTATTCACTAAACCATTTAGTAAGTTAAAGTAGCATAGAAGATAAATAAGTCTTGTATATTCTGAGTTCCCAAGTGAGGCTCTTTTATCGACTATATACTTAATACTTTTAAAACTGCAAAATTAGAAAGAACAAATTTACAGTTGATTACAGAAAATATGATTCATTTTTCCTCACCTGACCAGAAGTCTGGGAGCAGAGCTGGCATCTCTGAGACTTCCATGTGTTTTCTGAAGGCAGCAAGGGAGACAGGGTCTGGAAATAAGGGCATGTAGCACGTTTTATGTGTAAATATTTGGCTTCAAAAGAAGCATGAGCAACATCCCTGCACAGCAGGATTACGCTCTTTACAGACCTCTCCATAATCCACTTACTAAAAATTCTGTGACAAAAATATTAGGAGAATATATTGTCAGGAAACCAGAAATATGACAATAGAGTCTCTTAAAATGTTCCTTTATCGATTCCACTACAGAGGAAGGTGCATCAAGTTTCTCATGCTCTGAAACCTACTGTGGACCTTACCCTGAATCAGAACCAGAAGTAAAGGCCGTGGCAGATTTCTTGAGAAGAAATATAAACCACATCAAAGCTTACATCAGCATACACTCATACTCCCAGCAGATACTATTCCCCTATTCCTATAACAGGAGCAAAAGCAAAGATCATGAGGAACTGGTAAGTGCTACTTAATTATTTTCTCATTAGATTTCAGAAAATAATACTTAGCTCCAAGAGCAAAAAGCTCAGGAAAAGTTTTTCTCCTCTGGATGACAAATGTGTACCTGTTTTGTACCATGGCCTAACTGTGTCAAGAGTCACCCTGAGGTCAGCATTAACTAGATTTGGAGCTTGGATGTTTTAGAACTTCACTGAGGCAAAGGCTTTTTGAAATTATTAAGTTTCCTTTTTTTCAGAATGTCGTGGACCATAGAAAGTTCAAAGAAAACCCACGCAGAGTTGGGAACATGTTGTTTAAGTTGATAAGAGCACTTACTTGGCATGACGATACCCCGAGTTCAATCCCCAGAACAAATACCACAAATGGAAGACAGTGACATACATGCTTACTAAACCAACACATGCCAGTATTAAACATGGAATAACAAGGGGTAGCTCCCAACTCTTTCAGAGGGAAGGGATTCAGTAGCTTCTATTTTTGAGGAATTGACAGTGTATTGGGGGTAACATACTGCAGAGAAACAAGAATAGCAAAATACCTTTGACATCAAAGAACAGACATCGCTTCAGGCAGTTCTGAAAGACTTCTACGTACTCAGAGGGAAGGGATGACCTTCCAAGCAGAAGAGATGGCATTGTTCACAGTAAGCTTGTCCAACGGACTAGGAGACTGCAGGAATGGAAAATACCTCATAAAAAAGTAGGCATGGTCACCTTGTGAAAGGGTTTAAATGTCAGAATGAATTTGTGTTTTGTTATATAGACAATAGAGTTCCATTAATATGTAAGTTCTGGACACAGGTATGATTCAATATCATACATAGGATTAAAAAAATATTCACTGATATTCTTCTGGATTTTTCCATAGGGAGACAGTGATAACCGTAAGGCTAGTCTCAATTTCTGGGTTACATGGGAACTTCAGAAAAGCTCTTCATAAGCCAGAACCAAGTGGAGCCCAGTTAGCAGCCTTAGTTATTATCCTGCTACCTACTGGGAGCATAATCTTTTTTATTTTTATTTAGTCTTCGGAAGTCATTAGACATTTTAAACGAAAAGAAAATAGAATTTATGAAGAATGAGAAGTGCATCATGCATGCAGTGGGTGTATATGTATTTAGGGAAACTGGATTTAAAGTTTGATGATAATTTTGTCTAAGAATGGAATAAGTCCAAGCCTGGATTCCTGAAAAGCCATGTGAGAATTTTTTGGGCACAAATCAAAATATCAAAAGTTTTAATGTGTTGGAAGAGTTTATTTTTAAAACCAACCATTTGTGATGGCCAAAACACTTTTAGTGTATTCATCTCCTAATTTACTTTTTGGATTAATCTAGATTTTCACATGCACACTTTTATTCAATTAATGTAACTGTTTTTCAGAATCTCCACTTCTGCTGTTTCAAAGCTGCACATTAACTGATATTCTTTATCTTATTGCTTCTAGTCTCTAGTGGCCAGTGCAGCAGCTCGTGCTATTCAGAGTATTCATAAAAATACCAAGTATACACATGGCAGTGGCTCAGAGACTTTATGTAAGTATTTCTTCTTATGATCTTGGAGAACTGTGAGTTATTGAAGAAATCTGTATTTAATTTTTCTCTGTAGGCTTAATTTTCCAAACTGAATCTTAAAACAAAGTCAAATGTAAAACAAAAACATTGTAACAATTAGAAGCAGAATAGCTGTGACAGTGCTCAACAAAGGTGTATCAATATACAACTACACTAGAAAGTGAACACAGTATTTAACAAATTAGATGGGTCACTACAGAGTAGGGATTATAGAGTTGGCATCATATTAGTTAAGAAAACATCGTAACGGGTCAGTTGTACCCTAAGTGTCCCTAACCACAGGGCACATGTCAGGGTCTTTATTTACAGCTGCCCCCCACCACTTGCATTACTGCTTTGATTTTGCTTCTTGTCAGATCAGCAGCGGCATAAGATTCTCACAGGGTCTCAATCATTACCGTGCCCAGCCTATGTGAGGGATCCAGGTTGCATACTCCATAAGAGAATTCAACCTTAAATCACTCCACCTACCCCTCTGTCGGTGGAAAAACTGTTCTCCACAAAACCACTGCCTGGTGCCAAAAACGTTGGAAAGACCGCTGGTGGACACTATACAAACCTTCCATCTATCTTAGGGGCTTTTTTAGCAATATCCTGTCCTCAAAAATATGGCTCATAACTTTTTACAGTTGAATGTCCTTTTGATTAATTTATGCTGGATGATATTTACTGAGACATTCCTAAGTATCTGCAGGGGAATGACAGACAATGATTTTGTACTTTTGAAGCAGGAAGGCAATTGGCACAAGAGGAATAAAAAAATAAACATGTAACCGTGTATCAGCAAACCACAGCCTAAAGCTCAAGTTCAGGTCACTGCTTATTTTTATGTAACCACAGAGCTAAGAATGATTTCTCATCTTTTTTAATGGCTGAAAAAACACAACAAGAAGAAATTTTTTATGGACACGTGAAAATTATAAGAAACTTGGGGGGGCTGGGGATTTAGCTCAGTGGCATAAGCACCTGCACGGCAAACAGGCAGTCATGAGTTCGATCCCCGGTACCGATAAAAAGGAAAAAAGACAAAAAAAAAAAAAAAAAGAAAAGAAAATTATAAGAAACTCGTATTTATGAATATAAGTAAAATGTTACTGTAACAGTTCTGAGTATTCATTTGCATATGGCATATGATGGCTTTCATAACAGCAGGCCTCAGTAATTGTAACAAGGACAAGATGGCCTACAAAACCTAAAACATTTAAAATCTGATCCTTTACAGAATAAGTTTGCCAACTCTTGACGTTAAACAAATAGTAAAATACAGTACAATTTCATCGGTGCTTTGAAGAAAATAAACTAGGTTTAAAGGACTGAGAATGACTCCTGGTTAAAAAATGGCAATTTAGGCAACAGAGCTGGGAAGGTCTTGGTACAGTGCCATTTGTGGGGGAACTACCTGATAAGTGCTTGCCAAGAAAAGGTATGAGGAAAAGCCAGGGCTAGGGAAGAGCATATGAAAAGGCCTGAAGATAATATATTCGTAGTCCCAGGGTGTGATCTACAATGTATAAAGTCACATTCATATTATTGTAGGATGTGGTGTGAGCACCAGATGCGCTATCAGTAGGGTGCCCCAGAATCTCCCTCTTCCTCTCCCCCAACCACCCCGTATCTGGGTCCCTGAGTTTACTGCTGATTTGCTGATGCAGACCCAGGACCCTGCATTGGTACAGAAACACCTTCACAACGGAGAGCTCTTTTGTTCCCATCTTCTTTATTATTGTTTCCCAAAGCCTTAACTACAGTGAATCAGGGCTGAAGAAGCTTTCAGAGCAGCCCTGTTATGATGAAATCAGTCTGTCTACACACACTTGCTCATCCCGTTTGCATCAGTAGGTACACGGATGTGTAAGCACAGGACAAATGCTAGAAGAATAAATGTCAGATGTTGATCCTAAGTTGACAGAAATATTTGCTGAATGAATTAATTAAACCACTAGTGAGAGCTACTTTAAATATTATAAATAATGGGGCTGGGGATTTAGCTCAGCGGCATAAGTGCCTGCCTTGCAAGCAGGCAATCATGAGTTAGATCCCTGGTACCGATAAAAAGGAAAAAGACAAAAAAAAATATTATAAATACTTCAATAAACAACCTAGTAATCAATCCTAGTACCCGCAGAAAGAGGCAAAAACTGTTATTCTTTACATATTGTATAATTGTTTACCTGGAAAACTATGTAAACCAACCAAAAATATTAGTATCAATCAGTGTTAGATAAAGTGGTCAAGAGTTAATCTAGAATTTTTTTCCTTTATGTTGTTGGTTTTTCTGAGACAGTGTGTCACTATGCACTTCAGGCTGGGCTTAAAATTACTATGTACCCCTGGCTGGCCTTGAACTCATAGCAATCCTCCTGCCTCAGCCTTCTTAGAGTTGGGATTACAGGCATGTGCCAACATGACCAACCAGAACTTTCTTATATATAAAAATAATAAAAAAATAAAATAGAAAGAAGATCTGGCTGTATCCCATTACATACATACACACAAATACATATATATGAATTTGTTGTTAAATGTATGCCTGTGTGTAGACACACAATAAATCCATAAAACCTATATGAAAAATCTAGAAAACTTTTTTTTGCTGTGTATAACAAAAGATAAAAAGAACCTTCATATTTTTGAGAAAGCAATAAAAAAGTTTCCTAATTTGTATATTTAGTGCAATCCCAATGAACACTTAAATAAACCTGAAATTCATTTGAAAGAATAAATTTGGTAGAAGAGCTTATAAAATACGAAAAATAAGACTAGTAAAAGAGAATTGTTCCCAATGAGGTGGTAATGCACATTATAAACTTATAATAACTAAGACAGTATGAAACTGAGTCTCAAAAGGAGAGATCAATAAAGAGGACTAGAAAGCATAGAAATATACTCAAATATAGTATAAGAAACCTGTGTGTGCTAAAGAAGGCACTTCAACTCAATTAAGAATGAAAAAAAAGAAAAAAGAATGATGTCAACTTGCAGGTATGGTGGCATACACCTATAATTCCAGCACTCTGGAGGCTGTGGCAGGAGGATCATCCCAAATTCAAGGCCAGTCTGGATTGCATAGTGAGTTCAAGGCTGGCCTGAAATACATAGTGAGACCCTGTCTAAAAAAATAAGACAAAAATAAAAAATTTTAAAAAAATGATGTCAACTAATTCAATAGTAAGAGTCAGAAGATCTCACAAATTATTTAGCTTAAAAATTATTATTTTCAACAAGTATCAGCACAATAAATTCCAAAAGTCAAATATCAAAGTATAAAAACCTTGACATTAAACTAAGTTGAAAACTAAATATTTAATGAGAAACTTTCTCCACATATTACACAGGGTTAATAACATTCATACTTTTATAAACAATCTGTAAAAGGAGTAATGTGGAAAGGTGAGCAAGGATAATTGCTACAAAATATAAGATGGATAATAATATAACAAGATGTACAGCTCACATTTTGCTGTTATTGATCATTTGGATATTACCGTCTCATCAACAAAATTGCCAGGATGCAAAATTTTCATCAATGGTTCAGGAGGCAGATGAAGATATATTCACACCCTGCTAGTGTAAAACGTGTAACTCATTCACAATTATTTTGAACTATATTTGGGAATGTGTATCAAACTGTAAAAAGCACACAATTAAAAAGTACATAGACTAGCAAAGGGACTTGTAGGAAAGAATATTCTAAAGGAACGAATATTTATAAACAAGGTGCTCATTGTAAGCTTTATATTAAGTTGGAACAAATTTAAATGGGCCCAAATAAATTATTTAAACCAATTATATCTAGCTTTATAATGTAGGGGCATGAGATTATAGAAAATGATGATGTACATTTGAACTCTATTGTATTTATAAATGTTACAGTGATTATGTTTAGAAATGTTACTATATGTATAAAAGTGAATAGTTACTTTATGCAGGAATGTAGTAAAAAATTAAGTAAATGCATGCACTGAAAAAAAATACTGCACTAAAACACTGGTGTTCATCACTCCTTGGTAAGATTATGGTAGAGTTATGGGTAAGGTTTGTTTCCTTCCTTAACCTGATGGCTGTCAATGTCGTTTCTACAAGAAACTCAGGTAGTTTAATAATCAGAAAAAAGCAAAGCTATTTTCATTTTTTTTAAACAAAAACTCATTTCGTGAATTAATTTGAAACATCTATTTTTCAAAAAGTAATTTCTTTCTTCTTATTTTAGACCTAGCCCCTGGAGGTTCCGATGACTGGATCTATGATTTGGGGATCAAGTACTCATTTACAATTGAACTTCGAGACACAGGCAGATTCGGATTCTTGCTGCCGGAACGTTATATCAAACCTACTTGTACAGAAGCTCTTGCCGCAGTCTCTAAAATAGCGTGGCATGTCATCCGGAACGTTTGACTTCTCACTCTGCTTCCGTACTTTTACACGTTTTAGAGATCAAATCGTACTAGTTTCTAAGTTTGATCAGTATAGTTTTGATAAAAGGTTTTTCCATTCCTTACTTTTGTCAAAGAACACAATATATGCTCCTTTGAAATCCAGACAAAGGTTCACGTGTATGTTCACTATTTTCATTTTTAAGAGGCTAGATGTTAATTTCTGTTGTTTTACTATCTCATAATAAACAGATCCATGGACTTCATCGGATCTAATCAACAGAAAGAAAGGTGGTCAGGAAGGAATACCATACAGTCAAGTTTCCTGGTCGTTTCAATAAACTTCTGAGTGTGCCTCTAAAACCGCCACCGCGCATTCAGCCTGCTCTCGTCGCAGGCGCAGGAACCCGTGCGGGAGCCGCCTCTGCCCCCACCTCAGCCACTCAATAAACACTGTGGACCAATGAAAAGAATGGCTGTAATTACTTTCCATAACACACACGGTACTTCGAGCACCGGTTCGCCGTAACACGTTATGTAATAAAAGAGGACATAACTTCTCTTGTAATAGAAACCCAGCGTCCCCAGCTCCAGCCCGCTCTCCCAGGGTCTCCCACCGCACAGCCTGCCGAGCTCCAGCGCCAGCAAGCGCAGAGCCCGACGGGGCGAACGTCACGCCGGAGCGAACGTCACGCCGGGGGCGGGCCGTGGGGGCGGGGCCTGCGCGCTGACGATTAATCCGACGGCCGGAAGCTGCCTGCGTCCACACAGGCCTCCACAAGCCTCTGGTTTCCGGCGGCGCTTTGAGGCGATCCGCCTAGCGGCCTGGTAGTGTTTTCGTTTCCGTTTCTCACTTTTCAGTCTCTTGGTTCTACTTTTTCCTACGTCCGGATCTCGCTTGACTCTAGCTAAGTGGCGGGCGACTACCGCTTCGCAGACGCCCCGGAGCCCTTCGCTCGCAGAGGCCTGTTCCCGGGAACCGCGCGTGCACCTCCCTCAGCTTGTCGTCGTCCTCCCGGGTCCGGGCGCGGGGACAGACTGCAGCCTCCCCCGTTCCTCGGAACGGAGGGAGCGGTGACACCTCGGAACTGCGCTTGCGAAGGGAACTTGGGGAGGAGGTAAGCAGTCATTCGGTCAGTGTGGGTATCGGAGGAAAGGTGTCGGCGATCCCGAAAGGGAAGGCCTGGGTTTTGGGTCCTTCATCATCATCACTTCGGGTTTTGAGCGCTGCTTGAGCTTCCGTACGCTTAACTCTACAATACTCCCCATGCCCGGGCCTTGTTTCTTGCTCTGGTTGCAATTCCGGCTCTCGGTTAAGGGGAACAGGTCTACTCAGACAAAAGGTTGTTTGTGCTTCCCTCCTAGTTGATGTACGTATTCTCATTTGTATGCGATAGAAGATCCGAGAACCGCACGATATTCTCATTTGTGTGCGACAGAAGGGTGTACTGTATGGGCTTAGATTTGGAGTCTCTTTTTACTCGTCTCTTATCTGTTAGAGTTAAAAAGGATCTTGTATTTGATTGTATTTGGTCTTATTTCTCGAGAGTGATAACGATTTAAGTCCTGGGAGGTGTGAAGGGCTACTTTTTTTTCGCATTCCCGCGGTACTTATTTTGTCAGTTGTCTTGTCAGAAGCTGGAGAAGAATAAAAGGAAAGAGTCCAGAATTGGCAGTTTATTCCTAGCCAGATTAGCATAATTTATGTGGCTGGAAAGTAATCCAGAGTTGATGATACAATAAATTCTTGATTGTAGGTGATAGTGTCCTAAACTGTTTGGTTACTTTAGGAGGCTTTTAGATAATTTGAACCACTTTAAACATTGGAGGCATGTGCAGTCGCTTCAGGTTTTTGATTTTTGAGAAAGTCATTTGAAAAGTTTAAAAAAGGTCTTCACACAGTTTCCAAGTTTGAGGTACTGTTGCAATAAATCCAAGTCAGTGGGTAGTATATTCCATATACGTGAGAGTAGGTAAGCGAATCTGGTTCTGTGATACTTGACGTTACTAAGTATAATAAACAAAATGAAAGATAACAAGAGATGGAGGGGAGAAGGATAGGAAAAGGTGATTAAACAAAGGAATTGGGATGTGTTATGTAGGTGTACTGACTTCCACCCGAGAGATGTAAATATTATCTATTGCGGGCTGGGGATTTAGCTCAGCGGCATAAGCACCTGCCTTGCAAGCAGGCGGTCGTGAGTTCGATCCCCGGTACCGATAAAAATTAAAAAATTAAAAACAAAACAAAACTGGAAACATTATCTACTGCAAATATTTACTAATACAAACATTTGATATTATTGGTTTTAGTACCTCGACAGTAGTTTGAAGAGTTTTATGACCACGATATATACATTGTGAAATAATTTCCAGTTTCTTAAATATGTAGATTTTATAATAAGACTGTTTCAACAAAAAAAACTAAGAAAATTGATGCAAACATGTAGCAAGTTGTGTCCAAAAATAGTACTCTGAAACTTAAGACTTTCACTGTGCATCTGGTATGATCTGGTTTCATCAGAATATGATTTACCTTACAGTCACACAATATAAATGCTGTCTAAATAGTGGATGCTGTACTGTTTATGGAATAATGAGTGAAAAGTTTTTGCATATTATAGACACTTTTTTTTAGAATGTATTTTATCTGAGGCTTGTTGAGTCCATGGATGCATATGGAGGACCCAAGTATGCCTCTTACTGGATTCCTGATTATTGGTGATTTAAAATGAACACTGATTTTATGTTTTGAGATATATAAACATTGCTCATTTTCATATATGTAATATAAATTTTAAAATACTTAAATCTAGTAAGTGGATGTAATTTAAACTTCAGTACATTAAAATTTCAGTGAGACGCCAATGTGGATTTATATTGCATAAAACATTCGCATTTATGTATAACAGATTGTTTAATTTGTACTTATTTGGTATATTGATTTTTGGTTGGTGTTAATTTTCCCCACTTTTCGCCCCCCTCAGTCTTATACAAAGATGGAGCTCTTTTACCACATATTTATAAGCAGTTGAAAGATTAAATGGTATAGAAATATATAATACAGGTGTATTTTTAGGGTCTTTGTGTCTTCCGATAGTTTTATGTGTTGTACTTGTGTTTGTTACATAATAGCTGCCAACATGTCAGCTTAGTTCTGTCAGTTCCATTTGGAATTCAGTTTAGAATTGTTTTATTCTTAAATTTACAGGTTAGTAATCTATAAGTTTGCTTTGCAGAGTTCTTAAACTCTGTATCAAATAAATTTAGCTATATTTTCTTTTTAGGAGTATGAAATAGAAGACAGGTGTGGTGGCACACACCCGTAATCCTATCACTCAGGAGGATAGTGAGTTCAAAGCCAAGCTGAACTACACAGCAAGACCCTGTTTCAAAAAACCAAACACTAAAAAAATTTTTTAAAAGAATATGAAGTGTGAAGAGACATTATTTTTAATGTAACTCTTTTAGATATTCAAGATATAGGGATTTGTTCTGTTACTGTACTTGGAATATTTACATAGTTTTAACTGCTTAATTGTTAGACTATTACCTAATACACTGCTGCTTAACATGATTTATGCTGCTGGTAGCTGAGATTTTGGAAAGATAATAGTAATAGGTTGAAATGAATGTATCAAAACTGATACAGTTTGAGCATCCCTAGTCTGAAAATATAAAATCTGAAGTACTTCAAAAATAAAAACTTTTAAGTGCCAAGATTGCATCACTAATGCAAAATTCTACCCCATGTGATGAGTTGTTCACCAACCTCATGAAATGCAGGTACCCTAAAAATACTGTATAAAAGTACCTTCAGGCTATGTGTATGAAGTGTATTTAAAACATGAATGAATTTTGAATTTAAACTTAGATCCCATCCCCGAGATATCTAGTTATACATGTATTTTTTTAAAAATATTTGAAAATTCAAATCCAAAATACTCTGGTCTAAAGCTTTTTTTTTTTTTTTTTTTGTCTTTTTGAGACGGGGTCTCGTTATGCAGTTCAGGCCGGCCTTGAGCTCACTTTGTAGCCCAGGCTGGTCTCAAACTTGCAATGATCCTCCTGCCTGTCTCCCGAGTGCTGGGATTACAGGCGTGAGCCACCATGCCCGGCTAAGCATTTTGAAAGAGATTCTAATTTATGTATATTTTATAACCAAGATTTTAATAATTAGGTATCAGCAGTAATTACTTACTGAGAAAGAGGCCCTTCTGTGTTTCTCTCAGCCATGTTTATGGTGTGAACCCCTGAGCTCATTGTGATATTTCCTGGAGCAAGGGAGCATTTCCCATTTTTAAGATTCTTTTTATATCTCAATAGACTCAAAGTGTCCTAGACTTTAATTTCTTTTTTGTTCTAAAACATTATAAGAATTCCAGATAATTATTTACTATGCAAGTTAAGAGGTAAAAGGAAAATAAATGAAAAAGATTTCAATCTAATGTTAGCTGGCTTTGATAATACCCATGATTGGAAAAGTCATGATGACGTCATGGATGGAAGCATGATGGCTGCTTACACCAGAGCAACAACAGAAGAAAACCTTACAAAAAGAGTAAACTAAATTAGTAAGTTACTACTGTGACCTCAATTTATCACCTCATCGATAAAAAAGTCGTTAGCATTTACATTTTTATCTTATTTTATTGTTTCTAACATATATTTTGAAGTGTTTGGGTCTCATTGAAGCCCACTGATGCAAGTTGAGAAATTTGTTTCCTCTTTTCGTGAAGTGTGCGTTTTTATTTTGTTGTGGTATTGATCTTCCTTAAAATGTGGTCCAGATTTGTAAACAGGATTGAAAAATTCTAGTAGTCAGATTAGTTGGCTACATAGTTTTAATAAAAATACGAAAAGAAAACCTTTAACTGGCATATTGCTGATTATGTATATATTGTAGACAAATGAGATTTTAAAAGTTATGGGTCGTATTTTGTACAAGCATACTTGTAGTATTTTTATTTACAAACTGGTGAATGTCTCAGTACTGATATTTGAGTAACTTTATTGTTGACTAATAAAAGTTCCTAGATGAATTTGTATTGGTCAGCTCTTTGTTACTACAGTGAAATATCTGAAATAGGCTCCTAAGGAAAAGAAAGTTTATTTTAGTTGTGGAGTTCAACATTGGGCCCATCACTTTGGGGTTCTTTTGAGGGTAACAACATAGCACATGTAAGAACAAACTACTCAGACCACAAACCAGGAAACAGAGAGAGGAAAAAACTGGGGTCCGAAGGTCATTCTTGTAACCGAAGGA